GCCACCCTGAGTCCTGATGGACCAGGATAAAGGCTCCCATCTTCCAGAAAGTGACCGGGCCTGTGCGCCACCCTGAACCACCTGAGTGATCTGAATATAGAGGACCTTCCACTCCTTTGCTCCTTTCCTACCCATGGGAACTGCTTTTAGCAGAAATTCACCTGAACCTCTGGGTCCTTTCTCTCCGGGGTCACACAGGGAAAACTTCTATCTAAGCTACCCCAGCGCCCGTCTCTGTTTCCTGGGAGAAGGAGGGGTGTGGGTGGGAGATGGGGGGACAGGCTAAAGGAAAGTCAGAGATGAGAGGGGCTGCAGCCTGGCCAGGAGAGCGCTCCGCTGTCCTCACACGGCCCAGGGACAGGCCATGGACACCTCCCAGCATTTGCCCCTCTGCACATGGGCCCTGCGTCTCAGGAGCACAGAATAGGGGCCATCCTGTGTCCTCACAAACATGAACAAGGATCCTTCTTTGGGGTCATTGCCTGCACCCAAGGGTAGGGCACATATCCTGGGTGGGGTCCCTTGAGTCTCTAGTGTCCTATGCCCGTCCTTCCTCACCCAGGCCCTGGTGTCCTGCACAAATAAACTTGCCTGTCCCCAAATCCAGGATCCAGGGTGCTGGGCTCTGTCCGGGAGTTTCTGCTTTGACCCAAAGGCTGGCCCTCAGGACATCTTTACATCTAGGGGACACAGAGAAAGGCTGTCAGAGTAACCGAGGTAGGGAGGACCCCGATTGCTGCCCTGAGCAAGGCCCTCCTTGGCGCTATCCCTGACCTGCAGCCCCCACTTCCCATCTGTTTCCACTTTCCTACTTGACACGGATCTCATTGAAACAGGTCTCTTTCCCACAATGAGCGTCCAGGTCTTTCACCCACGCTTCCATGGCGACTGGACAAAGTGTCTCCTCCTCCACCTGGCCCACGGGTCTCCCCCACCCATGCCTCACGGGCAGCCCCCTCTCCACACCTGGGCCAGCAGTTCTCAGTGCTTCCCTGAGGGCCCGGGATGGGCGCTGTTCCCACGTACGTTCACTCGGTCACACGAACAAAGCTGGTCCAACACTGAGGCACAGAGCCACAGTTCGGGAGGATGTTCCACGTTGTCTCTCATGAGATGAGAGATAGTAACAAACTTTCAGAGTTTCACATCATGATTTAGCCCAGGTCACTCCTCATCCCAATCACACAAGTTTGGATTAGACAAGGTGACGCCTCTCGTTGGTCTCCTACGGCTGTTGCGGCAAATTACCACGAACTTAGCAGAGTCAGACAACACAAATCCAGGCGTGGACATGGCAGTTCCTTCTGTGGGTTCTTTCTGGTGTCCTTGCCTTTTCCAGCTGTTAGAGGCACCTGCATCCCATGGCTGTGGCCCCTCCTCCATCTTCAAAGCCTGCAGCTCAGCTTCTTGGTCTCCCTGCTCTGCTTCCATCATCCCATCTCCTTCTCCAGCTCTGCCTCTCCTGTCTCCCTCTTGGCCCACGTGGCCGGTTTGATAACCACAACTAACCTCCAGACACAAGCAACGGGTTCACAATTTATAAATTAGAGCAGAATCGGGTCATCCCTATAACAACACCCTCCTGGCTGTGTCTTTCTCACATAGAAGGGAAACAGGTGGCCTGTCCAGCAGTCCCTTCTCATTGTGCCAGCCCTGCTGCAGCAGACGGAGGAGCACCCCCCAGACACTGTCGGTGGTGCTGAGGACAACCAGCCAGGGCTTGTGAGCTCTGATCTTGGAGCTATGAGTTGCGTCTGCTTCCTTTTCATTGTGAACAGTGAGCGTTACTGACAAGGAGGAGGTGGAGAGGGCTGTGGGAGTGTGAAATGGCCTCAGTCCCCATCATTTGGGGCATAAGGGTGTTGTGGGCATCACTGCAGGAACTGACCGCATAGTCCACAGGACCAAGTCCAGGTTGCCCACAAGCATTGTCTCCCAGAGGTGAACAAACCTTCCAGCCCAGCAATTCCACTCCTGGGTGTGTACCCAGGAGAAACTCTCACACAACCACAGCGGTACATGTACAAGAATAGTCATAGCAGCAATGGCCATAAGTATCAGAAAAATTGGGGAAGGGGGGAGAACACATGCACAATGGACAAGACTTGCGTTGTGATTCAATGCCACCGGAGGTTCTACATCAGGGAAAATGGAAGAACAAAACCATACATTGAGAGATGGATGAATATTAGAAATATGATGATGAGTTTTTTAAAAGCAAGTTCCAGAACACTATATCTACTATGCCATTTTTACATGGATCAAAAACAAGCAAATCTAAACAATGTTTGTTTCTCAAGCATATTCTACATATGTCATCAAAGTATATAAAAATCCAAGCAACTAAAATCGTGGTTACTTCATGGGAGGAAGCAACGAGGTGGGATGGGAAGGAACATACAGGTAAAATGCAAGTTACTCCTGATATCCTATTTCTTTTTGGTGTTAAGTTGTATGCGTTCCTTATATATTTTGTATATTAACCCTTTATCAGATGTATCATTATTTTTTTCTCTCCCCACCCCAGCTTTCTTGAGGTATAGTTAACAATGAAAATTGTATATCTTTAAGGTATACAACTTGATGATTTTATGTACATTGATAAATAATCATCACACTCAAGGCAACTAACATATTCACACCTCACATAGTGACCTTTTTCGTGTATGTGTGTGTGTGTGTGTGTGTGTGTGTGTGTGTATTTTTATTGTATTGGGGTGACATTGGTAGATGTGTCACTGTTTAACATCTTCTCCCACTGGATTGGTTATCACATTCCCTATGCTGTGCTTTATAGTCCCATGACTATTTTGTAACTACCAATTTGTTCTTGTTAATTCCTTCACCTTTTTCACCCAGCCTCCTCCCATATGGCAACCATCAGTTTGTTCTCTGTATCTATGAATCTGATTTTGTTTTATTTGCTCATTTATTTCATTCATTATATTCCACATATAAGTAAAATCATATGGTATTTGTCTTTGTCTAACTTATCTCACTTAGCATAATAACTTCTTGGTCCATTCGTGTTTTTGCAAATGGTAAGGTTTTGTTTTTATAGCCAAGAAATATTCCATTGTATATATGTACCACCTCTTCTTTATCCAGTCATCTGTGGTGGACACTTAGGTTGGTTCAATATCTTGACTATTGTGAATAATGTTACAAGGAACTTAGGAATGCATATAACTTTTCTAGTTAGTGTTTTGGATTTCTTAGGATAAAACACCCAGAAGTGGGATTGCTGGGTCATTTGATAGCTCTATTTTTAATTGTTTGAGGAAACTCCATTCTGTTTTCCATAGGGGTTGCACCAATTTGCAATCACACCAACAGTACACAAGGGTCCCCTCTTTTTCCACATTCTGGCCAACACTTGATTTATTAATGATAGCCATTCTGATAGGTGGAGGTGATATTGTGGTTTTAATTTGCATTTTTCTGATGATTAGTGACACTGAGCATCTTTTCATATGTCTATTGGCCATCTGTATGTTCCCTTTGGAGAAATGTCTATTCAGGTCCTCTGCCCATTTTATAGAGTCGATTCCTGGTCTGATGCTTCCCAGCTTCTTACCCCTCACTCCTCGCTTCTTCTAAGGAAAAAAAAATAAAAATGGAAGGCCTGCCTGATGCTGCTGCTTTTGCAACTAAACTTAAAAACACTCTCATCCAGTACCATAGCATTGAAGATAAGTGGCGTGTTAAAAAAGAGAGAGAGCCGAAACCGGTTTGGCTCAGTGGATGGAGCGTCAGCCTGCGGACTGGGGGGTCCCGGGTTCGATTCCGGTCAAGGGCATGTACATGGGTTGTGGGCACATCCCCGGTGGGAGATGTGCAGGAGGCAGCTGATCGATGTTTCTCTCTCATCGATGTTTCTGGCTCTCTGTCTCTCTCCCTTCCTCTCTGTGAAAAATCAATAAAATATATTTTAAAAAAAAAAAAGAGAGAGAGAGAGAGAGATGTCACAATTTGGAGAAACCCTTCAGAAGAATTTAATGGATATCTTTTCAAAGCCCAAGGTGTTATAAATGGTGTTGTTAGTGATATAATGGACCATATACTCCCAGGTCCCTGTTGCTTGGATTGGGACAGCTTAATGACTTCATTGGACATTTTGGAGAACTTTTAAGAGAATTGCTATGTGATGCATTACACTACTGCTGGTCAGCTTTGGAATATCATTTCCTCAAGAGACTTTGTTAATTTCTCCTACACTGTGGACTATAAAGGAGGGCTTTTATCCTGTAGGATAAGTCTTGACTGGAGTGAGAAGAGAACAGAATTTGTTCGTGGATATATACTGGAAGCTATTCATTGTCTACACTATCTTGAAAGTGCAACAGGGAACTTGGAAGGCTCATGGACCTTGAGCTTTAGCAAGGGCTAAACCTATGCACCAATTGCTCTGGTCGAGATACTGGTGGCTCAAGCAATTTCTTGACCTAATAGTCTCAAAGTAAATCTTTACTAATATTTGCTGACCTTTAAGATAGTCTGTCTGCCACCGGATTGCCTGCCTAACTAAGGGCAAGATGTGTATTCTAAAATTGAATAAAAGCTAACAGGGTCTGGGCCCCAGTGAGCCTCTCCACTAGAGAAAGGTTTTCCACCTGGCCCCCCATGCCTTCTAAATTCATATTTCTTGTCTAGTGTATTCATTTGTGCACGGCCCCTTTTCCAGATCCTGAACCCTAGCCGCAAATGGATGTGGCATTCACAGATATAACCATCCCTGTGGTTGGTTTTGTGTTCCACTTAAAGACAATGCAAACCAGAGTCTTTTGACTAGCTATATTCAGACAGATCTGTGTGGGATGATTCCTCAGTCTGCAGTGGATACAGAAGTGGCAAGCACTTTAATCAACTTCTATGGTGATTTACAAAAAGCCTTATAAAAGGTATAAGATGTTTAAACTTGTAATACTGTGACCCTCTGAATCAACTCCTCTTTCAACTCCATGGCCTATAAAGATCATCACCCTTTCCTCTCATCTTTATAGCTTGTAGAAAAATTTGAGTGTTTGGGGGTTGTTTTATTCCTAAAGTAAATAGCTATCTAAGAGAGGGCATTGTAGTTTTCTTAAATAGTTATTTGCACTTTGTTTGGTATGGCAGTCCATGTGTCTATGAATGGGGAGTATGACAGAAATCTACCTAGCAGTAGGTAACAGTTCTATGGCTCAAATTCTTAAGAAAATGAATAGTGCCTCTGTGAATTTTTTGGCTGCTTGGAATTTAGAGAGAGCACAAGTTTCATGCTGTTAGGTTGAAATAATCTATTTTAGAACTTTATAAACATTTTGTAACTGTTTTCATTTTTTTAATATTAGTGCTTTACTTTTGGTATGCTCTGTGAGTTTGCCAATATCTTGGACTAAAGAAAAAGCTCTTCTCTATATTTTATAAAAAGGGACTTCATTGTCAATTGGCTTGTACTGCTTTAAGTATTGAAAATATCAGAAATAAATGGGTAGATATTATAGTAACTATAGGTTCAAATCAAATGCAATCAATTTTGATACCTAGCTAGCACTATTTTTTGCATATATTTAAAAATGTGGTTGTATCTTTATGTGCACTTATTTTGGAAGTCTTAAAACATTTATGCATGAAAGAAACAGTACAAAAACTGCCAACTGTGTGATGGGGACACACCATTGTTTTGACAGTAGTCTAGGTTTTGTGTAGTAGCAGGTGATATCCTGTATTTAGTAACAGAGAATCATCTCTCTACAGTGGTTCTCAACCTGTGGGTCGCAACCCCTTTGGGGGTCAAACGACCCTTTCACAGGGGGCGCCTAAGACCATCGGAAAACACATATATAATTACATATTGTTTTTGTGATTAATCACTATGCTTTAATTATGTTCAATTTGTAACAATGAAAGTGGGGGTCACCACAACATGAGGAACTGTATTAAAGGGTCGCAGCATTAGGAAGGTTGAGAACCACTGCTCTAGAAGGTCAAATTCAATGAAAGTTCTGTACATGTTTCAGTTTTAAACGTATCACTCAACTCATAAAGTATTATTAACTACTTCATAAACATTCACAATTGTGATGTAACTTTTGTCTGGAACTATAACAAATGCATTCAGAGATTTATCCAAATGCTAGATGAGTCATTTTATAACTAGAGTGAACAATATTAATTGTTCCCTTGATTCTATGGCTGCCTTAAAGGAACATTTTTACATGATTTTAACATTCCTAATGACTCTAGCTTTTGAACTGTCCACCTAGTTTACTTCTAAAATGAGAACTTGAGGCATCTCAATGTGTCCAGGCAAATTTTTGTATGTATTTGTTTCTGTACATGTACACAGCTTGAAATTTATTTCATTGTTCAATGTGGGTTCTTTCTACATTATTATCATCTTATTTCCTTGTGTGTGTGTGTGTGTGTGTGTGTGTGTTTAATATGGGGTAAGGTGAACTCTGGAAATGTGTGCCAGATAGGTCACAAAAAGCACAAGAGCATATGGTGGTTCAAGTACATGAAGGTTTGATCTGTGTTTTACTTTGCTATATTTTCCCAAGTGTAAAGGAAGCATAAGTCATAGATCCTCAGACCCATTTTGATAGAGTGAAAAAAGTTGAGCTGGCTTTTGCCTTTATTTTTTTTGCTATTAGCAATGATGCTAAAAAATCTATAATAATAAAAGGGTAATATGCTAATTAGACCAGATGTCATTCCGGACGTCCTTCCTGACGAAGCCAGGGCAGCCCAGGTCCTGGGTGCCTGTGGGCAGCCCAGAGGAAGCCAGCCCGGCTCCCAGGTGCCTGCCGGCAGCCAGAGGAGGGAAGCCCGGGTCCCAAGTGCCAGAGGGAAGCCGGTGCCGGCAGCCAGGGGAAGGAAGGCCTACTCTTGCATGAATTTTTGTGCATCTGGCCTCTAGTAAATAAAAAAAAAGGTTGTAGCACAATAATATCCATGGTGAATATCTCACAGATTTTATATTGAAAATAATTTGTTTCAAGATCTGACAGAAACAATGTGTAAATGATCCTATTTTCTTAACTTGAAATTTATTAATCAATATATTTTTTCTAAATTGATTGTAACTTTGAGTTGCTGGATTTTTCTCCCACATTTTTATTCTTCTTGTAATAGGAAGAAAAAAAACTCAGTAGTTTCGTTTTTAGTTTCCCATGAAAATTTGTTAAATGTAGTTTTGACTTTATATATTTTTTATTTGGTTTTATTAGTGTAGAGTAGGAAGTTTCTTATATTTAAGTATTCTATCTAAGATAGAGAAATACCAACAGATTATAAGGTGCCCAGATTGGGTAAAGGATTTGCAACAATATTGTATGTAAGGGCTATGACTGCCTGATCTGGGTGCCCCTAAACACAAATGAACTGTCTACTCGCAGTTACTCTAATGTTCCCTTTGTTATTTTCCACTTATACCTCCAGTTAGTGATTACATAATCCACTGTTTACTGTGGACCAACTGCAGGTAAAAAAATACTCATGGAAAAATTCTCATTGCAATATTGAGTCATATGGATTGAAAAATTGTATTTGAATTACCTGAAATTTATATGCGGTTTCTAAATGGCACTTCAGATCTGCTGGGCTCTAGCTGTACACTTAAAAACAAGCAGCTTTATCAAGGTGTAATTTACATGCTATACAATTTGCAGGTTGTAGGTATATAGTCCAGTGATAGTTTAATACATTTATAGTTGTGAAGCCATCACCACAATCCAATTTTAGAACATTTTCATCTCCCAAAAAGACCCCTTTGCCTGTTTGCAGACATAACTAACCAAAGTTTTGCACAGTTGCCAGTATACAGAAGATGATGAAAAAGATTATAGAGTAGGATTTTGTTTTGTTTTTAAGATAGAGTTGTACTTCAATCTAAGCTCAGGAACCCTGTGTTAATATATTAAAATATGTTATCTCAAGTACCGTAATGATGAAAACTTAAGGATGTGGATTGGGATTAATGAGTCTGATGTTTCTATAACATTGCTGTAGAATAGAAAAATAACCTGAAGCCATATATCATTTTAAATTTTCTAGCAGCAATATTATAAAAATAAACAGCTGGAATTGATTTTATTAATATAGTTCATTTAATTTAATAGACCCAAAATATTATCGTTTCAACATGCAATCATGCTGGGGTGTTTCTCAGCATCTAGAAGGATTCAGGAATCTGGAGAAGGGGCTGCAAGTAAATTAATAAAGAGACTAGACATGAAATATAAACTTGGAAGGCATTTTGGGGAGCCAGAGGAGACCTAGCTTCAGTAACCAAGTTCTCTGGATCTCTGGACCCCTAGCTT